AAGGGCCAAAATAAGACTGAAGAAGGGCACAGAAATGGCAGATTATTGACAGCGCTGTGGCTGATACCTTTTTTGTGGTAGAATGTGGGCTGTTGCCTGAATTTCTGAAGAGGGGTGGGGATGGGGGGTTAAATGGGCTACCTTGAAGGTCAGCTCACATCTCAGGAATCTTCTCAAACTTGTGGCTTTTCTCTTTTATCCCTGTGCTTTCCTGACAGGTGACTTTAGCAGCCCAGATCCTGAAAATTCACTTTCCCCTAAAATCCTGATACCCATCTCCAGAGCCTGTGGGTCAGGGTCTAAAATGTTGTGTGTGCAGCTAATGACAATCCCAGAGTCTCTTGGCAGCAACCAGCTCTTAATGTCTCCTGGTGCCTCAACATTGCCCAGCGAAATGCCCACCCAGTGCCAGGACTGGCCTGCCTGGCTGGCAGACCAGAAATGGTGGTTCAGGGATGGCGGGAAGAAGAGAAATCTATGAGGAAAGCACGAAGCTCTGCTGGGAGTTTAATTTTTAGAAATCACATGAACAGGGCAGGCTCCAGGAGCCTGGGTCTTCTGGAAAGTCAGCTGAGCTAGGAGGCCAGGTCTCAATTCTTGCACCAGCTAATAGTTTTGTGGCCATAGCTGCAGTTAGAGATTTTCCCATACCTGGCCTCCAAGGTGTGCACTGTTTCTTGGTGAGCTCTGAGAGATGAGAGCCAAGATTAGATTCGTGGAATGTGAGGTGGAGGAACCTTCCAGCAAAGCCTGCCACTCCTGCCAGGGGACTTCCCTATAGGGATGCTCGACCGAGCAGGCATGCAGTGCTGAGGGGTGGGCACGCAGCCGTGGTCAGAGGGACTCGATGCTTTCAGGAGCTCACACTGGTCAGAAACAGCTGCAGGGGCCTTGCTACAGCCCCTCTTGATGGCTGCCTGGGGCCACCAGCTGCCCATGATGGGAGCTGGACCAGCATCCTGGTCTCCCCTCTTTCCAGACTATCTAACATGAGTCATTTCACTGCTGGGGGCCTCTGTGGCTAGAGCATGAGGGCTCTATGAGGAACAAGTAAGTATTTGTGAAAAGGCTTTCGCATGTGGAAACTGTTGTACTGCACGAACGTTCGAGGGTAATGATTATTTGCAACCGGAGAGGAATGTACTCATTAAAATGGGAGATAAGCACCCCACACCTGGTTCCTCCTCCTTCCCAGTGAACTGGACTGCGTGGGGCCTGCTCTTTGGCTGGCCCGTCAGCACAGACCGTGCAGCCCCCCTTGCTGGCCGCCAGAGGGTAAGGGGGTGCGGATTCAAACACGTCTGCATGCCCGCTACGTGCCAGGCAAATACAGGCAGAGAATAGTGACACGGATAGCTCTCCCTTGCCCCTGATGAACTCAAAGTCTAGCTAGAGAAATAGACTGATAAATGATCATAAAACGGCCTGATAAATCTGTAACAAAGATCTGTCTACAGTTGTGTGGGAACACAGATAAGAGAAGAATTCATTCTGCCTAAGGGTGGGTCCCTGCCAGAGCTAATATATGAATTGGGCTTTGCATGGCCCATAGAAGTTCACCCTGTGAACCAGGATTGGCGGTTGGGGGGGTGAAGGGCAGAAAGAGCTCCAAAGCCTGAAGGGGGCAAAGAGCTTGGGGCATGGGGAATGGCAGCCAGCACTGGCCATTCATGCATGGCCCTGGGCCAGGCTCTGTGCTAGCAGCCAGCCCTGTCCTGGAGGGACTAAAGAAATAAGGCTGCAGAGGTTGGCAGATCCATGGGGCCTGGACTGGAGGCTGCAAGGCCTGGCCAAGAGCCGCTGTCCATGGCTCCTCCCAACGGTCACCTGTAGAAAGCTAGGGGCTCTCCATCTGGGCTGCTGGTTGAATGATGGAGATGCCTGTACTGCTTTGTAGACTAATCAACTCCACTTCTGTGGTGGGACGCAAGCTCCTCAAGTGCTACCAGGCCTGAGACCACTGACATAAACACCAGAGAGGCTGAGTCTGGAATCTGCACACACAGGAACTCACCAGGGTGTTCTAGTCGACCAGGTGTGGAAGCCATTGCCAAGTCCCGGGGCGTGAGGGGAGGGGCTGACATAATATAAGACCCACACCTTCAGGGATCGCTCTTCAGCAGAGGTTTGGAGATGGCCTGAAAGGGGCAAGGCCGAAAGTCTTGGAGAATAATTAGGCAGCCCAAGAGAGAGCGGGCACCTTTTGGGGGAGAAATGGAAAAATCTATCCTAAATCCTAATGGATTTGTATGGAAATACTCAAGGAACCCTGAGTAGCCAAAACAAGTGTGAAAAAAAAAAAAAAAAGAATAGGGGCACCTGGCTGGCTCAGTCGTTAAGCAGCTGCCTTCCGCTCAGGTCATGATCCCAGGGTCCTGGGATCAAGCCCCGCATTGGGCTCCCTGCTCCGCGGGGAGTCTGCTTCTCCCTCTCCCACCCCCCCCCACTTGTGTTCCTGCTCTCGCTGTGTCTCTCTGTCAAATAAATGAATAAAATCTTTAAAAAAAAAAGAATAAAGTAAGATGGTTCATAGTTCCTGATTTCAAAACTTACTACAAAGTTATAGTAGTTAAAACAATGTGGTGCTGGCATGAAGAAAGACATATAGACCAATGAAATAGAATAGAAAGCCCCCAAATAAACCCTCACATATGTGGCCAAATGATTTGTGATAAGAGTATGAAGAACATTCACTGGGAGAAAGACAGTCTTTTCAATGCATGGTGTTGGGGACATTATGCACGTGGGGAAAAACGAGGTTGGGCCCACATCTTATACCATAGAGAAAAACTAACTCAGCACAGATCACAGACCTAAACGTAAGAGCTGAAGCTAGAAAAGTCTTGGAAGACAACACAGGGGAAGAGCTTCATGACATTGGATTTGGCACTGAAGTCTTGATTATGACACCAAAAGCACATGCAACAAACTAAAAATAGATCGATTGGACTACCTCAAAATTAAGAGCTGTGCCTCAAAGGACACAATCAACAGAGTGAATGGCAACCTACAGACTAGGAGAAAATATTTGCAGATCATGTGTCTGATAGAAGATTCGTGTCCAGAATATAGAAAGAACTCCTACCAACCCAACAACAAGTAACCTGGGTTAAAAAATGGTCAAAGGACTTGAACAGACATTTTTCCAAAGAAGATGCATCAGTGGCCAAAAGCACCTGAAAAGAGGCTCAACACTGACTAATCATTGGGGAAACTCAGATCCAAACCACAGTGAGATACTACCCGACACTCGCTAAGATGGCTTCTGTAGAAACAAAACCAAACCCAGAAAGTAGCAAGCATTGGTGAGGATGTGGAGAAATTGGAACACTGGTGCCCTGTTGGTGGGAATGCAAGGTAGGGCCTCCGCTGTGGAGAATGGGCTGGTTGTTCCTCAAGAATATGAAAAATAGGATTACCATGGGATCCAGCAATTCCACTTCGGGAATTTACCCAAAAAATTGAAAGCAGGATTGCAGTGAGATGTGTGTATACCTATTCATTTGCTAGAGCTGCCGTTACAAAGTACCACAGAACTGGGGAGCTTTCTGTTCTCACCGTTATGGAGGCTAGAAGTCCGAAATTAAGGTGTTGGCAGGGTCGGGGCCTTCTGAGACCTCTCTGCCTGACTCGTAGATGGCCATATTCTGTCTGTGTCCTAATCTCTTCTTCAAGGACAGTAGCCACACTGGATCAGGGCCCACCCATATGACCTCATTTTAACTTAATTGCCACTTTAAAGACCCTATCTCCAAAGACAGTCACATTCTGAAGTTCTGGGAGTTACAACTTCAATCTATGAATTTGGGCAATAGTGAGGGAAGCACAGTTCAACACCCATGTTCACAGCAGCATTATTCACGACAGCTAAAATGTAGAAGCGACCCCCGGGTCCATTGATCATTGAATGAGTAAGCAAAATGCGGTACATTGATACAATGGAATATTATTCACTTTTAAAAGGAAGGAAACTCTGACACAGGCTACATCATGGAGGAACTTGTAGACATTATGCTTACGTAGAATATTCCAGTCACAAAAAAGGCAAATATTGCATGATTCCATTTACATGAGGTGGTGGCCTTGTCATGTTCATAGAGACAGAAAGTAGGATGGTGGGTGCCAGGCTCTGGGGGAAGGGGATGGGGAGTTGTCTTATGGGGACAGAGTTTCTGTTTTGCAAGATGAGAAAGTTCTGGAGGCAGATGGTGGTGATGGTGGCACAATGTGAACGTATTTAACACTGCTAAACTGTAGGCTTAAAACGGTTAAGATGGTAAGTTTTACGTTACATGCATTTTACCACAATAAAAGGCAGGAAAAAAGAAAGGTTAAGGACTCAGGCAAGTTATCCTGGTAGACTTCCCCCGTGGGGCTTCTTTCGGGCCGTGGAGGCAGTGACCTGGTGAGACCAGGGGGAGGAGGAGCAGGGCTGATGGGGAAGTGACCCGGGTTTGGGCCGTCGCCACTCCTCTTGGCCACGGTGGTACCCAGCTTCATTAACCATTCCCTCCCCCCCCGCCGCCAGCCCCGTGCTCCTCCCCACGAGGCCCCTGTCATCTCTCCCAGGAAGACGCGCATCCTGGACCGCTTCCTCGAGGCCCCATGTTCTGTGTCCTAAGATGAGGTTCTGTCCGTCAGCCGTTCCCAAGACGCTGAGAAGCCTTTGCTCTCCACTCCTGCTTTCCTCCTGGGGCGCTTTCCCTCCTGCCTCCAGGTCAGCCTCTTCTCCTTGCTCCGCCCCCCTTGGTGATGGGGGACAGTGTAGCCTTATATTCTGGAAGGGAATGTGAGCATGGTCAGGCTCTGTGAGGAAGCTAGCATGTTGTCACCCCTCCTTTTACTCCACTTGCATCCACACCCCTCCCTGGGGGTCAGTGCTCATGGAGGACTCAGGAAGGGGGCAGTGGCACGTGCATAGGGCCAGTGCTGCCCCTGGACGAGGCTGGATGGGCAACTGAGGGCCACTCCATTGACCATATGCTCTCTCTCCATCCTAGGACCTGAGTTCCTTTGCCATGCCGCTCCTGGACGGAGACCTGGAGAGCTCAGAAAAGCATTCTTCTCGTAAGGTAAGGCCACCTTTCTCACAGCTTCTCACGGCTCACCTGAGGTGCCACTGAGGCAAGACTCCATCAGTGAGAGCCCGGGACAAATGTCCACCTGCTCACCCACCTGTGCTCCCACCTGCTCCCACCTGCACATCCACCTGTGCTCCCACCTGCGTATCACCCTGTGCTCCCCCTGCTTATGCACCTGTGCTCCCACATGCATATCCACCTGTGCTCCCACCTGCTCATCCACCTGTGCTCCCCCCTGCTCATCCACTTGTGCTCCCCCTGCTCATCCACCTGCTCCCACCTGCACATGCACCTGTGCTCCCACCTGCTCATCCACCTGCTCCCACCTGCACATGCACCTGTGCTCCCACCTGCTGATGCACCTGTGCTCCTATTGCACTCCCACCTGCTTACCCACTGGTGCACCCACCTCACATGGCCATGCCCCTCATACCTGCTGGCTGTCTTAATTTGAGAGCCTCTTGGGCTTTGCTCCTTTCTCTTCTCCATCTGGGTTCAGCCATGGCCCTCTAGACTCCCCAAAGTAGGCAGAGGTAATGTGGAAGATCAACAATAAGCCAAGAGAAGAGGCTAAAAGTATCAGTAAATGGGAGATTTGGAGACCGTCCGAGGCTTTCAGCTTGTCCCATCCTGGACAGGAGTTCCTTCCACCTGCCATGCCCTCACCCTTGCCCCGTTCCAGGCCTTCCTTCCCGTTGGTCTCCACGCCACTTTTCCTTGCCTCTTTTTAGCTCACTGCCTCCCCTCCCCCACTGGCCAGTCAGCAGCTCAGGAAGGCTGGTGGCCATGTAGGGTCAGGCAGCCAAGAAGGAGGGTGTATCCTGTGAGGGTCTTTGGGCATGGTGAGAAAGGGGAGGTCAGGGCAGCCTGCAGTCGAGACTGAGGGGTGCACAGAATGCTGGGTGGCAAGTCCTTCCTGGGCCCCACTACCCACAGCCTGGTGGGAGGTGGCTTCTGGAGGGGCCTAGCCACCCGGGTGCCGTGAGCAGGGACTGAGAGTGGAGATACAGAGCCACACGATTCTTTGGCTCTGGGTACTGCCAGCCTGGGGTTGGGGCGGGAGCTCCAGTGCTGGAAAAGCTAGCCTGTTCTCTAAGCGCTCTGAATTGCACACAATTAAGGCAACATACTGGTTTAGGCCCGTGGGTTTCCACTGGCCTCAGCTCCCTGTCCTGAATGAGCAAGTGACCTGATGAGCAGTCACTGTGGCCCAACCTGGGACGGTGCTCAGAGGATCTCCTCAGGAAGGAGCTGCAGAGCTCCCAGCCCAGGGGGGGCAGGGTCCGAGTCTGCAGGGTGGGCTCTTCCTTCTCTCAGGCTGGCCACTTCCGAGGGTTTGACTCCACGAAGACCTTCCTTCAAGTGAAAACCCAAGGCAGAACTGTGAACGCAGTAAAGACCCACAGTGAGGACCGGGGCTTCGTCCAGCCCCACCGGCCCCCACTTTGGGGGCTCCCATAGCAAAATCACTGTCACAAATGCGTGACTCCAGAGCTAGAGAGGGACCTTGGAGGGTTTACTCTATCCCTGGAATGCTGCGGGACATTGGTGATGGTGATGTGTAGGACGCGGGCCTCGCTAGCCTGTGGCCTCGTGGAAAAGGAGGGTGTGAACTCCTGAGAAAGCAGGGAATTGTTCCAGAGGGTCTGACCAACGCAGGAGGTGGGGGGACCCAAGTGCCTGGCTAGCTGGGAAGGCACTTCTCCCCAGCACAACCTGGAGACAGGCCTCGGATGAAAACCATGCTGGATGCAAGCGGACCGGGCGGGGATGCTTGGGATTCCCACTGACCTTGCTGCCGTGGCCTTCGCTTGGCCTCCTCACACCCACCCCTGCCCCATTCCCAGAGGGCAGGCCTTCCCTCCTCCTGACCCTTGAACCTTGGCAATTCTCCTTTCCATTAGATTCTAGTGACCTCGAATTATATAGACATAAGGCCGGCCTTTTTGAAAGGCAGAGTTTGGCCACTACCGAGAAGAATTTCCAAACTGCCTTGGAAGGGCCGCCCTCTTCCCCTGCCAAATTCCATCCTTTCGTCTTTGCAATCCAGATCGAAATGTAAACACCCCTGTGAAGGGGAACGTGGGTTAGGTTCTCCCGGCAGCTAGTCCTTTCTGCGGACGTGATGTGGGTGGCCAAAGAGGGCGGGGGGTGCCGCTAGGCTCCTCAGGTGCAGATGGGTGGGAACCGTCCGATGCTTGGCAGGCCCCTCTGCGTCCCAGGAGCCCACGCATAGTGAGTCAGATGGCCCCACCTGGGCTCCCCTTCACAGGTGTCCCTGACTACTCCAGGACCCCAGCCTGGCGTTCCATAATATCAGTTCATGCAATCTCCCAGGCCCCCTCACTTTACCCCTGTCTGTGCTGCCCCTGCCCCCCCCCCCCCCCCCCCCCCCCCCC